GCAACAAGACCCCAGACTAACCTTGAACTTCTGGGTGGCCATTAGGCGTGCACGACTTTGTGTGATAGTATAATAAGCTGGATCAACAGGAACGCTATAATAAACGCGACGTAGCTGCAAAACACTACTATTTTCGTCCAATGAATGTGTTCACCTGGTACTTGTATGTAAACATGTCCATGTATCCCGGTCGAGAGAGTAAACGATACACGATAATTAGAGACGGACTGAATTTCGGCTTCGGTTTTGGCTTCGGCGCAGAAAGATGCCATTTAAATTGAATCACTTTCGGCGTACTTTCGGTTTCGGTCGAAACAGAAAAGTTAACTTTTGGTTTATTTTTGGTTTCAATCAAGACAGAAAATTCATGGCAGTGTTCGGTTTATTTAGGTTTCGGCCAAAAGTGATTGAGTCCTCTGCGAACATTGTTCACAGCTGCTTGATGACTAGCATGTCCAATATTTCCAAAAATGAAATGCCAATAAGGTAAAAAGGAAGGTAAATTGTTTTGTGGGGAAAACAACAACTCGGAATGTTAATATTTATTTTATTATTATTATTATTTTTTTAATGGGAACAGAAGTTGTATTCAAATCATTCATATGTGACATGCATTTTGATTCATCATTATCTTGTGATAGTCAAAGTTAAATAGTATTATGAAAACAAATCTTAGGGAATGGTAACTTATCCTTTATTATTTTTTAAAAATTATTATTTTATTATTTTTAATTTAAGATCCCAAGGCTTATTCAATTAATTAATTCATTGACATTCATCGTTATCCTGCTCATAAATGGCTCTATGGTATAAACCTTCTATAATTATTTATTTGTTTATTCTGAAAGCCTAGTAGTGGATATAGTAGGTGGAAGCAAGATTAAATTATTATTTTTTTAGTAATGATTTATTTATTCTAGAAATATATTTTAAAAGATCATTAGATTTATTCTTAATTTTTATTGTTACAGTCTAAGTGTGCAATCCAGCCATTCTATAGAATGCCTAGTCAAGGTGTATAATACATACGTCATTTTACACTCTGCTTAGGTATTCTAGAGAGTGGCTGGATTACACACTTTGATTGTAACATTAAGATGACAGAATATTAATTCTCGCATATGGATTATTATCGAGAGCCATTCACTTTGAAGATACGAATAATTGTGAAATGTATTTGTTCCTTCCGGTGGTGTGTGTGTGTGTATGGATGTATTTGTGTGTGTGTTGACGAGCTAAAAGGGCTGACATTTAAGGTAAAATTGTAAAACGACTATTTTGAAGTTAATACTGATCCAATTTGGATGATAAGCAGGGATGTTTAGGTCGCGATAAGTTCGGTTGGCTAAAACAAAATCGTTAAGACGTTTATAGCTTACAGGTAGACAAAGAGACACTGTAAAAACGGGGGGGGGGAAGGGGGGGGCGAGGTTCACTTTCCTTGGGTAAATTTTATGAGAGTCACTTAATACAAATAAAAATTGTCACAAAAGATTTCAATTCATATTTTTCGCGGTGAGCAGAACGTGTACGAAAAGAAGTTTTCAAATACTTAAATCTTTCGGCTTTAAACTTTTTAGCTGAAATTCTCGTTTTGGTTTCGGCCGAAATAAGAAAACCACTTCTCTAACGATAATCATGTTGTCTATTTCGCTCGATAACTTAAGCACTACTTATGTCATGCACCAGAAATCGTCGTAGAAGCAAAGAAACGCGCTTCAACAAATAAAATTAACGCCACTTTTTACACCAGACTCACTTGTATGAAAGAAATGTGGAAAATTCATTTTTTTTAAACTTTCTGTATAAAAAATAATTTCGTCCAAAATATCTCTAATAACGGTTTTAGACCGTTTAAGAAATGAAAAAAAAAACCACCAACAACTAATTGAATTAGTTGATCTAGGTCACTCACATCCGCGTGAGATTACTTTAAGGATACATTTTCACACATGGAAGGCCGTATCTGAATCATGTGATGTTGTCTCCTTCTGTCACAGTGCTCCACTATTTTGAATTTGTGTTATGGTGCATGACGGGATGTGTTTCGTCACGCGCGTAGCTAAATATTGTAGAAGGTTCTACACCGTCAAATCTGACAAATCCTGTCTGAAAATTCGTAGAGACAGGCAGCTGGAAGTACGTGAAGATCAGTCAATGCAGATAATTTACATATAATTGTTTTATGCATCTCTGACATTTTATTTGCAATAGACACACGTGGTGATCACCTGGAGTCATTAGAGAGCTCCCAGTCCTTGAGAGCAGTTCAGAAATATAGAAATTGAAACCCATGCCGACCCTGTAGATTTACGATGAGCTTTCTATTGCTACAAGCTGTATTCTGTATCCTCGCATGCACATTAAGCTTGTGTACGGCGATCGAAACAGTAAACAAAAGTAAGTATTCAAATAAGGTCCCAATTTAAGTACATTAATATATTGAACACAACGGGCGAATTAGAGATGATCTGTCATTGAAATATAGTTACATACAGGTCTGGCCGGCGTAGGCATCAAACAAAAACATATTGGGGCCTATGTGACCAAATCGCAGGGTGACTTTTGAGACCAATATGTCACCGAACAAATGGCGACTTATGAGACCACTAAGTAACCATTCAATGAGCGACATATGAGTATAACCTTAGAGGCCATATACTAAATATGTACAGTATTAACAACTAGCTTTCTCCTACCTTGCCAGCCTGTACATTTGTCAGTGACGGTAATGGAGCCTCTGAAACTGGTACGTGTTTCCATGTCAGCAATGAGACCTTGACCTGGCAGGACGCTCACAGGTTCTGTCATTTAAACCAAGGATACCTGATGAACTTTGTGCATGAATTGAGTTCCTATTTTGACCCCAATGTGCTGAAATTTAATGGTGAGTACTCTGTGCGTTCACATTATTGTTGTCCTATCATTTATTTTATTTATTTTATTTGTTTTAGCATGAAAACAAGAAAAATCCGGTTTGGGTAGTTCAAGCGCCGTGAATTACTCATTATGATTAAATACTCTTCATTAACTTCGCTATTGTTTGTGTGTTTCTTTTTTTTTCCCCGTCTGGCTCTGTGGCAAAATCTACGGAAGGCTAAATGGCACTTCCTCCTGTTCTATCATTGAGCTGAAACTTGGCACATAGACTCGTTGCCAATGAAGTTTCATTCTATCAAATTTTCTATCCGAATTCTATAATCTTATGTCAATATTTTGAAGAGCATGCGTTTAAGTAGCAACACGCTGCACTGGAGCTGTTTTTTTTTCCCGTGTTTTTTTTAAAACCCCAATAAAATATTTTTTTTTAAAGTTAGATAACAACATTTCTTTGTTGTTGGGATAAATTGTGAAGATTACAGATAGGTGGGTGTAGTGCTTCAGAATTACTGCAGATCGCCCAACAGGTGGTTGCGGAGTTCGTCACTTGATCGGTGTGGGGACCCTATTCATGCAACATAACATGTTTGTAGGTCTCCATTGAAAGCTGACCCTTATGTGCTCGCAATCATCGCAAGTGCCATTGAAAAAAAAAGTTTTCTTTTTGAAAAAAAAAAACTAGGAATCCTGTCCCTGTGGTCTGGACACCATGTGAAAAATCGACGTCTGCTGGCTGACAACTTCCCAACTGTTCGAAGGTGAGTAAATTTTGTGCAATAACAAGATCTTTTATCCGTAATATTTAAGCTACTTTCTCACATTGTAAAGAGATATCTTGAGCTTTAAATTAAAAAGCAGTAAATTGTATACGGATTATATTAGGATTGCATGATTCTATTAAAAATGCTCTCGCATTGTTTCAGTGCCGGAACCTTCACCAATTTTACACTGAACAATGCCACGGGCAGTTCTCTCTGTGTACTGCAAGTCTACAACGGAACATGCAAAGTAAGGTGAGTCAAATTAGTATACACTTTAACGAAGTCTGGCTTTGATGGACCTGTGACAACGTTAGCGATCCTAAGAGAAAGATAGCGTTCATGAGATGGTGTCAGCTGTTCTAAGATGTTGTTAAAGGTTTATTGTCCCATCGATCTTGGTTGTTTTTTTAGAGTCACAGAGGGGTGCGGGAAGCAAAAATTGAACAAATGTCGATCCTGGTGGCATCTTAGACTAACAAAAAACAAAAAGGTGGCTTGCTAAAAGTTGAAAGCAAAATTATACGAAATATTTTAACATTTTAATTGGAATTGGACCACAGCCTGAAAAATTTGAATGGCTTCGAAAATTTTAATGGCCTACTGTGTTTTAAGGGTATATGTATATAGTAATTTTAATGTTTGTTGAAGTCTTCAATCTGTATAGTGGGTAATAAAGTTCTTACATCAAAATCAAGTCTCTTAAATCTTACGACCTTTACGTGCATGTGCCTTTAAATTCTTCATTGAAAATACATATTGGTATTATTTAACCATTTTTGTTTCGACTCTTACTTATAACCAGGGTAACTAAAAGACAAACACAAGCAGGGGGCGGCGGAACACAGTGTGAAGACTCTTACACAAAGGTGTTCCAACCGTGTGACCAGAAACACTTCTTTGTGTGTATGTTTGAAGTCAAACTCGACTATACTAAAGGTTACGTCCACTGTAAGTCATTGCAGTTGTATGGCATCTGAGTTGTTTTCCATTTTAAAACTAGGATATTTTAAAAACAGTTTGTTGCGTTGGGGTGTGTGTGTCCTAAAACGCTCATTTATTTTGTGGGTAAATTGAGAATTCTTCTGCCTTGGGGATATTCTTTCAAACAATAATGTCGTTATGGTTATTGGGGAGAATTGCAGATATATTTTACTTTGTGTCCTCCCAGCTTAAACTTATTATAGCGAGACAAGTACGGTAAGCGGGACCTGCGTTACAGAAGTGTGGAATGGGGGAGCCAAAAAGATGGAGCTTGTTGCCAGAGTGCGGAGTACGGAGTGTGGAGTGCGGGAAAACAAGAAGAGATTTAAACGCGGCACCTTCTAGAATACAAATTACTATTTGTACAACAATTATCAAATGATTTTATTGTGTTTGACCACAGATCAAGGCAGCACTCCAACGATTCGAAGTGAAACTTTGCCAGTGGATTTTTACACGACTGTTGAAAGTGTTCCGTTTATTGAAATAGATGCAACATGCAAAAGAACACTTCAAAATGGAAAACCTTTCAGGTAAGAGGGGTGTACAAGGGGGTTGGGGGGTGGGTGGGGAAGTCTTCTTCTAAATAACAATAGTTTGGTTACAACAAAGATTTATCAACAGCAAGAGTGGATCTCATAGACATTGTTCGTAAATCGTCAGAGTTTGGGCCATGTTTATAATAGAAAGGAAACTATAACAGTTTTATTAAAAGGGTGTTTCACGGCAGTCGTTGTATCCTCAGACTCAGAAAAGACAGGCACAAGCAGATCCCCCACTTCAATGATGACAGTCCCCGGAATCTTAAATGGTGTGAACGTTGGTCATAATTACCCCCACCCCACCCCCAAGCTCTTAGCACACCTTCGGAAAAAAAAATCCGATCAAATGGCCGAAAATGCCGCCCCTAAATTTAAATGAAATATAACGCCCTCCTAGGAACGCCCCTTCCAACGCAGCTGCCCCCATCCTGTAAAAGCCTCTTTCATACCTTGGTCCTATGACCAGGGGTGTCATAAAACAAAAATATCCAGAAACACATCGTCTCAGACAAGCGACTGAGGCAGATATTCCAGGGGCGTTGCTTGGGAGCTTGTCACACTTGACGACACATCCCGGTGAGAGATAGCGCTGTTGCTGTAAAGACACGGATGGCTCTCCCGACTGTTGTCGTGATATGGAGAGATCAGAGAGCTGTTGCAAGGAATAAGGATGTCAGCCTAAAAAAAAACACATGGCTTCCTAAACAAATATTCAGTTAGCCAGATCGATAAGTCATACATATGTGCAATAAGCCGTAAAAATATATCCATTAGTCTTGTGAGTTTTCAGTTATCGACGTAAACATTCAGTTGTATGAACATTCGCTTAGCTGCTTGCATATTGAGTGACCTACATACATAAGAAATCTGAAAAACTAACATGTAGTTATCTGTTTAAAGATGTCATCTATTAAACGAGACTGTCACGGGCTAAATCAGCTCCCAAACTATGTAAATAAGCTAATAATGCATGCATTTTCAATCACAAGGGTGACTTCTGACTATGAGAGAAAAATGCTCGTATCATATGGGAACGCGTCCCTCTATCTTGGCTACATTAACAGCACAACCGAACTACTCTGGCTCGACACTGGAGAGGACAACGTCTGTAGCGCTGTGGCCGTTGGCTCTTCTAAATTCGTAAGACACCATCTTAAACATTTAAAATCCGTAACTTTTCACTTTGTCTTTACTATATTACACAATGTTCTTAGACCTAATTAATGGGTAAAGATGCACCGAGTCGGTGCAAATTTGTTTTGGGGAGACACGTTGTTACAGCAACAGTCAAATCTTTCTCGCATTCTTCACATGCCCTGTATCTAGGTCTTATGATCCATCTTGGATATATCCGTGGCAAAATAAGATAGAATACACTTTTATAGCTTATCTTAAAGCGAAATGGGACGTAGTCAACCGTTACATATCACGGGGGAGTAAAGATTTACCATTATAACAATTATATTGTCCGATGCTTAACAATCTCTGATAGGTTTAATTGAAGTGCGCCATCCTTTGCCTTCCCACAGGTTCAACATGAGTACACGCCTATGCCATGCGGCACGCGCCTGAGAGTCTTATGTCAGCTGAAAAAGTCATATAACGGTGAGTGACGCCATGTTAAAACGTGGCAGAAATTACTTCAACTAAATACGTGTTTCCCTTGTGGACTAGTTTTCTTCATGTGATCGCCTCAAGACAATACCACTTTGGTTTGTATCCTACATTTTCAGACACATCGCCCCCGAAATTGAAGATCACAGCCAATTGGCCAGGTGTCATGGTGATCGGCAATGAGATCCAAGCCCCTTCAAGACTAGCACGTCAGTTTGGCAGCTTAAGTGACGCCAATGGTACCCCTATCCAAAACGACGTCTCCATTGAGTGTGTTACTTCCATAGGACCGGTAAGCTCGTTGGGTTCTTAAATGATTTTTTTTTAAAAATTAAGCCATCTTCTGTCAACACGGTTTATCGATAATAAACTACGTCAATTAGGCAGTGATTATATTATGCCAATGATTTAGAGGCTCTGAATACCCTGAATTTTCTGAAAAGTCTTATTAAAATAAAACGAAGATGATCATTTAAACTAAGGCCACCAAAATGCACATTTTCAATTAGCATTTAAGTACAAATCGAATTATTTTGGCCTTGATAAAATCTCTTTTCCCCCTCCACTTTGACCAGCTTCAGGCAGTGACGTTCTACAAGAATGGGATTCCATTTATGTCTCAGGATGGTATGCCTTCCACGGTGGGCCACTATTTTAATTTGACAGTACAAGAAGCAAGTACCATTTTTTTTATCTTAATCAAAGTATTGCGATGAAGAGGGCACTCTAATAAATGCACCAGGCACTTGGGTAAATGCTAAAATTTAGCTACATTTATTTTTACAGAGGTATCTATTTTATACACAAATAATATTATATTATAATACCGTGTTGTATTAAATAATATTAAGACATTTCAATATTTAACACAGAATGAATTTTCTGCCTCTGGTGATTCTGACATCGATCTCAACCAATACTTACACTGTGAGATCAATAATCTAAAAGATGGCTCCACCCAACAATCAGACTTTGCCTTTATACGCCTTACGGGTTAGTCTTCTATGAATTTATGCGTTGAAATATTGATCTAAGGCAGTCGGAAAAAAACTTAATGATTCATTGTACTGGTTGGGGAAATATAAGCAAGAGCTACAGAAAACAGTCAAGAAATTAATTTGTTTGAAACCATTTTGTTCCGAAATAATTTTGTTTCCGATGAATTGATATACTAGTTGATGGATAAGCCAAGTGGGGCTTTTGACCTCCGAAGGGGCTTATGACAAGTGGACACATTTAGTTTAAAGAAGAAACTTATGTTGAAACAGTGAGTTAACTCAATTGCAGCTAACAATATATGATATCAATTAAATTTAGTTTGTAATAATATATTTTAATGTTTTATGTCTGTCTTTTAAAAACTTTTGAAGGATAAAGACAAGAAAGACACATTTAGAATGTAGTTTTCTTATTTCCCGTTGACTTGACGAGATATCTGATATAGAATGGTATTTCTTATTACCAATTATATACAAGATATAAGTTGTTATAGAATGTTGTTTCTTATCAGTGACTTGACCAGATTTTTGTTATAGAGTGTAGTTTAAAATCACCAATTGATTAGACCAGATATTTGCTACGAATGTAGTTTACTTATCACCATTTGACTTGACTAGATATGTGCTATATAATTTAGTTTCTTATCAGCGAGTTGACCAGATTTTTGTTATAGAAGAATGTAGTTTAATATCACCAATTGATACGATCAGATATGTGTTAGTGAATGTAGTTTTAATATCACCAATTGATACGATCAGATATGTGTTATTGAATGTAGTTTTCTTATCACCAATTGCCTAGACCAGCTATTTTTCCTTTGTTCTCAGATTACGAGATCTATTCACTGCACATTGACCTGATGTCCAATGACATGGCGGACAAACTTGCCGTGGTCATGCTCGAGGCTTCATTACTAAATCAATGGACTCCTCAAACCTTTGTTGCCAGTTCCAGAAATCTTTCCCTTGATCCAACACTGACAATAACTCGTTCTTTATCAAATGGGTCAACACTGGTTGACCTCCAGAACAGCCTGAACGATGTTGTAAAGCCTTTGCAGCGTTGGCGGATAAAACCAATGATGTTTACGTATGTGCTTCACTTAACATTGTTTGTTTGGTTCACTTAACATTGTGTGATAGTTTATCACAAATTGTTTTATTTAAACAACATAGCATAATTGTTATAAGTCTTGATATATTATAATAGCTTAGTATCATTTTAAAAAAAAATCTAACTGAAAAAAAAAATATATATATTATGTTTTACATCAACTTATATAATCATATAACGTCCACACCTCATTAATGAAACTGAGTAATATATCAATTAATTATTTTAGTAATTACAAATGGCAAATCTTTATTTTCAACATGTGGAAAATAAAATCCACCCAGGATTTATGTTCTTTTATCTATACATCCCCAAATGATGACAGAAAGAGTCTTGTGGCGTATTTTTATCAGAACGCTTCTGAAACACAAACCATTGAAGATATGAACCAGACAATGTTGGAACTCGCATCTAAGAACATAATGGAACTTTTCCGAAAGGTATTACTGGAACAATCACATCAGTAAACAACTATTTTATGAAATATTTTATTCAATGGAATTTTAACCAAAGTTTTTTGTTTTTTTTCTGGAACCCTGGTCCTATGACAAAACTGTTAACTCTAAATCTATTCAGTGTTGGCAGTACAATTCTCTTCTCAGTGATGCTACTGCAATCCTTTTCTTGTGACGTTAGTAGCACACTCTTGTGGGCGATGTTAGTAACATCCTCTTCTTACAGCGGTAGGAACGCCATTTGTCCATTAGATCATTGAATCTCTCTTGTTGCCTGGTCACAGCTGCCGTCTGTTGTAGCTTGGTTATAGCTGCCCTTTCTTTTAAACTAGTTATAGCTGCCGTCTCCTGTAACCTGGTATAGCTGCCATCATTTGTATCCTGGCACGGCTTGCCCTTTTCCATTATAAAATCTCATGTCCCTCCGTGAAGAATCCCCCATTTCATTTTGCATGTATTTGTTGTTGGACGTTAAATCAACTCTTTCCCATTCATATCAAAGAAGTTTTTCTTGATATATATTTATATAAATGTATTCTTTAATTACCACTAACTACAGAGAAAGGATGAGCTTCAACAATTCAATGTCGCGTCTGTCCAAGTGCGTAGCATTGACTGGTGCTGGCCTGTAAATCTGTCAGACACCATTAGCAACGCTGGATACAACCTCCCCAAGTCAACCGTCGGAACAGTCTGGAAGAGCCCAAGTACATGTGCACAGGGTAATACACCTAGGCATCCCCTACAACTTGTTATCAAAAATAAAAATTCCTTTAAAACATTTGAAGAAAGCGTCTTTTCGAACAAAACCCAAAATTTATATTAACAGTTTTTACCATTGTAATATCATTTTGTCGCAATGTCCTTACAATGTCCATGCAGACCGCCAACCACTGGTGACCATGGCATGTGAGGGAGATAAGATCATTGGACTACACTGGAGCCGTCATGTAAACCCGCTCTGTGACTACTACTCTGCTAATAATTCTGAGAGAACTGACGTCACGTACTGGCTTCAGGATATAGCAATGGTTGGAATCTTTTTTGTTTTTTCATAATCAAATTTTACCTAGAGATCGTATGTTATTTGTTTGGTTTATATCAATGTAATAATGTAACAGAAGAACATAGAATGTTTTACCTAGAGATCGTATGTTATTTGATTGGTTTATATCAATGTAATAATGTAACAGAAGAACATGGAATATTTTACGGGGTCTGAAGAATTTAAAGAAAATTTACTTATCTATTTATGAAATTATTTTTTATTTATGGTTTTAATATAAGATTTTATTTACTGATATTTTTAAAAACATTTTTAAAAAATTCTAAACAGAGAGACATCAACAACTCGAATGTTGAGGAAATTGTGAACTTAACAAGAAGAATTATTCTTACAGAGCTGGACATTATCAGGGTTATACCTGAAGATGTCAGATATATCGCAGATATTTTCCAGAAGATCAGTTACATCAGTGTTAAGACCCCGGCCACCGTTCAGGGAATGCTGGACGTTGCTGCTTTCATGAGGAACTTCCCGGATCATGTCTTAACAGAGTCCCAGAGATTAGGGAACGCCACAAACAGGTTTGTCATCAGATGCTAACAAGTGTCTGTAGGAATAATGTTTTTTTTTTAATATATTGATTTTTTGAATTTTTTATGATTTCCCTGACATCACTTTCAGGGTTTCCCGCTGCCCACCAGACATTACACCCCAACCCTAATGGGATTCGGGTACGCTTAATGTATATTTACAACCAGTTGTAAATACGGGAAACTTGCTTTCTCAGCTAAGCTAAGATTTAAATATGCGCTTATATATCTTCAGAGTTTGCGGTTTTTATTATATGCTTAAAAACCCCATTGTAGATGTATCTTCTTATCCTGTTCGCAATTAGATAAACTTGAATTGGTTTAAATATCGATACATCTGTAAGTTGTAATAAATAATTGTCTATAATAGAAACTAAATTAAAATAATATTAAATTGACCCTTTTTTTGGTTCAATTTTTCTTTTTAAAAAAGTATTTTTTTTTTTTACATATTTAGAATTTTAAAGAGTCTGGATCTATCGGGAGGTCAGGTTGAAATTGGGACCGACCAAAATTACCTGCGAATAACTTCCGGTGGTCTTGGCCTGGAAGTCTGGAACCTTAGCCGTATCAATGACAGTACATTGGTTCTGGGAATTAAGGTGTGTATTTTGTTGAGACTTAAGCTACAATACGCGTGACGTATTCTCTAGTTTATCCCAAATTAAATATTGTGTCTGTTTGGGACAATCAGTAATTTCAAGCTGAAAGAAAATCTTTTATTTTTTTCCTCTCCCAGATATTGTCTGGTGATAAAACAGAGGTTCTTACATCAGAAAACCTCCGGACAGTTACCAAAGTCGACCAGGTTGACTACGGACAAGCTGAAGTAGCCATCCTGTTACAGACAGATTTAATTAATGTTAGTGAATCATATTATTATTAAGTATTGGATTGCTGTTTTGTTTTAGTTGTAGTTTCGTTTGAAACATGATTTGCATTCCCTTAAAACAAGGCCAATTTTATTAATATTTAACATTTCAATTCCTTGCAATTCCTTTTCTACGTTTTGAGACGCCATCGCCGTTTACATTTATAATTTTTAGAACCTGTGTCATTTTCATACTCGTATAGCGAAACACTGCAAATTTGTTTAATAATCAAATATTATAAAAATATTATTATAGTTGACCCACAGATACCCATGTTGGGTTCATTATTCTAAGTCAGCATTGCTGCAGTTCAAATTTATCCTCAAACATGATTATTTTACCTTATGTGAATTAAATGTTTGTCATACTTTGAATAACGTGTAAATCATGCCTTGTCCAGAGTCATCCAACATGTTTATTGCTAGATATGTAATAATGCTGGTCAAACTGTGAGCAACCTGTGATATTTGCATCTTATCAGACATTGTCTTCCTTCTTTTTTATGTTATCTGTGTTAAAATAAAAGCCATAGTGTCTCAAGACCTCATTTCCTGCATTGGTAAACATATCAAGAGTGTATTGACCGCCAGAGTTATATATATATTCTGTATGCTTTGCGGTTTAGTGTGAACGGTGAGGCTATTTCACCAATGCATTCTAAACTGTTCCTCACAGCCTAGTCAGGTGGGCATTATACTTTATAAGACTGTAGGCAGCCAGTTACATTGTTACTGGCAAACTTTTTTTTGTGGGTATGAGCGGAATTTTTGGTCCATTTCATATGTGTTAAATAGCTGATTTTAGGGTATTATCTTTACATTGTAGTTTTCAGTAATTATTTGGAGACAAAATTTGGGGCGACTGCGATCTGCCAAGTTTTTAATATCTGTCATAGATTGAATTCCTGCAAAAACAAGGGGTACACTTTACCCAGAAAAATAATTCCATGTCACAACCTATTTGTAACATTCGTCAGCTGATACAGATTACTGAGTGCTGTATGGTCCAATGGGCTAAACATTAGAAAGTAGTCTACGAATTTTTATGCATTTTAATAATATTTATTTCTTGCATGAAAAATTATTTCTTTTTTTTTTTTTTAATTTTAAAGAAATGCATTTCCTATTGATTAATTATTTTATTTATAATTTAAAAATCTTGATTTTTTACTCTTTTGTATTCTCGACGTAAACCGGTTTATGAAAATCAGCGAACGGTTCTTTGTTTTCAAAACCTTAATGTATTCAGAGTTCTTTAAATATGTCTTTAGCTTGTGGCATTTATTTATTAAATAGGAGTTGCCATTTTCATGTTTTGTACATGTCCTGACATGGCCCTGCTTGTCCCTCACAGGTGAAATATGATGTCTTTGTTTGTGGTTTTATGTGTTGTGTCTGTATATGTTTTTTTTTTTTTGTGCAATGTTATAATAACACGACTTGTTGAAAAATGTTACAGAACATTGTGAGTAACTACTCTGGCTCAGATATCAGACTGGCCATGAATGTCTACTCCGACACAACACTCTTCAAAAACAGTGTAGTGGAGAACAACATCAGTAAGCCATCTCTCAACAGTAGAGTCGTAACTGCACAAGTAAGTACGGAATCATGAGTGGACAGTGGCTGGTGTTATCGGTAAAGCATTGTAAACATTTCCACAAAATAACATTTTTTTTGTATGTTACCAACTTATTGTTAACTAATATTCGGTGCACATCTTGGTTTAAATGGTATTAAATTTGTGAAGAATGCTTATATATTTAATTACCCATTCGTTTTATTTTTTTTCTAATTTTTACACTCAGTGTGACCAACATGTGCCAAACTTTCTTCGCCATTTTGATGTACATGTCCCCCTTTTTTGACCAATTAAAAAAAAAAAATAAAATTCAAATTATGAAATCTCGAATCTAAAATACAACTTTAGATACACAAATGCAATGTATTAGCTCTTATTTACAGGATTTATTTAAACACAGATACAGTCATTCTAAATTTCTTGTTGCTCTTCGGTTTAGTGTAGAATGATACACTTCGAACATCTGGTTGGTGCAAACATGCATCTACGCATTGTAATTTACGCATAATAAACCATGGAAGAGGGGCCAAGCACCCTCAACAACAGAACCATCTCACAATTTACACGTCACACTTCTGCTGGGCGTCCTCGATTTCCGCCGCTCCTCCCTGGTCTCTCCTCCCTCCTCTCTCCTCCCTCCTCCTTCACCCCATTTGGTCATTTAAAGCGGACATGGCGGGACCGAATTTTATGAACAATATGCGCTGAATACAATTAGCTAAATAACTATATTTTTTATTTAAATGTATACAATTTTTGCATGTGTTGTATAAGCTTGAGTAGATGCAATAAAAATAAAAGTATAAATTTGTATACGTTGTTTATTGGTATTTATTTTCTTTATTATGTTTAGGGACATGTGCCCCGCATAGAGCTGATCCACAACGAAAGTGTCACATAAAGTCATTTGGGTTGCCCACCCCTGCTTTAAATAAACATTAATGAAGCTAATTAAAGCATAATAATATACATGTTTGGGAGGGGGTGGAATTATTTAGACTAATAAAAGCTACAAATTCAGTTTCACTTATGCTTATAAAAATGATAATTTAATTGCCTAAACCATTGTTTCTACAGCTATTGGTCGATTATAAAGCGGTCTCCAACCGGAACTCCAACACTGTCCAGATTATGTTTCTGCCAGTCAAGCAAATGCCGACACATCTGAGACCGAGTCTGACGACATGTGCCTTCTGGGACTTTGAGGCCGAGTCGGGCGCCGGGGGCTGGTCAAGCCAGGGATGCGTGTACAACCAAACCATTGACGGCAGGGATGTTTGTGTTTGTGACCACCTCACAAACTTTGCCGTCCTGACGGTAGGCGTCTGTTTATATCAGTTGTGCCCTCACCATTCAGCATGCCCTGTTTTAAATCAACCGTATCTGACCTGTTGGTGTTACCTGCTTTAAATCAACCGTGCCTTACCATTTAGTGCACCCTGTTTTATATTAACCGTAGGCCTGTATCACCTGATGGTCTGACCCTTATATAGATCATCCATACGTCGCAGAGTGATGGTCAATTACAGTTTTAAAATGTTCACAAGCACAGGAATTGACATCATGAGGTTATATTCTTACTCGAAACCAGGAAAAGGAGATGTAGCCATATCTGAAAGTGACACATGTTCAGGTTAACAAAAGTGTGACTAATATTTCATTGCATAACTAGCAATAACATGAAGGATAACTCTAGATAACGAATGTTTTAAAGGTTATTCAAAGCATGACCAACAATTCATTTACATAACAAGCAAAAATCATGATTTGATATTAAAGTTAAATTGCAGCGATGATTCATGAGAGTTTAAACCCAAAATCGATCGAGAGGACACACATTTCGCCTTTAATATAATATTTGACTTTTAAAAAGACATTATGCTGCAGGTATAGCTTCTATGACAATTACACAGTTTTGCTCTCTGAATCTACATATCAATAATGAGGGCCTAATTTAAGAGCGGAGAAACTGAGATACAAGATACCTCAGTTTACCCAAATGTCTAGAAAATTGCAACATTTCTACTATAATGATTTAACTGATAGGATTATATCAGCGCACAGATTGTTGTCTATGAAATATTTCATCGCATAGCTGTATGTTTAACTACAATAACATCAATTATAACATATAGTTGTATCATTTTTCACAGACTAGGTCTTTTAGTACAAAATCGCATGTCAGTATGTGTGATAATAATGATATAACTCGCAATTATAGACGCTTGCACACGTTGTGTCGATATAAGACATATAGGCCAATGCATTATAATTAACTGAGGCGGTATCATTTTTACGGGGTCACATTGAATGAGCTGGACAAGTGCATAACTATGCTTAACCTGATAAGCAACACGCAGAATTCGTCCATTTCAAACAGATAATGAAATATAGTGGGTAAAACAACAACAACATCAACAACAATAAACGAACGAGGATATAAAGCAGTTGTTACTTAGATTGGTCAGCTGTGACCGGCAAGTTAATTGAGCACTTGTGTGTTCGTTTAGGCACCTTTTGATTCAACGTGGCCACAATTTTTGGCACAACCGGTACAACAAAAATCTGCACAGACACAGCGCAGTTCACGTTTTTAGCGCCGGAAAACCCCATCTCTGGTACTCTTCGTGTCGGGGAACCTGTTGGTCACGTGATGGATTACCGCTGTCTGTAGGCAACGAGCCCGAGCAAAGCCGGATATATTGCCTCGTGTTTAATCGGAGCAATTATAACCTTTTGAGTCAAAGAACATTTTCGACTTAGTGGCAGTGGCACAGGGGTACTAATGACTAAGTGGCAGTGGCACAGGGGTACTAATGACTTAGTGGCAGTGGCACAGGGGTACTAATGACTTAGTGGCAGTGGCACAGGGGTACTAATGACTTAGTGGCAGTGGCACAGGGGTACTAATGACTTAGTGGCAGTGGCACAGGGGTACTAATGGCTTTGCGTTTTAACGTTGTTGTTTTTTTCGTGCCGTTTGTTTTAATCAAACACAATCGTGAAACTTTTCAATGTCCTCTGCAAATACAATAAATATGTAAGAGATTTTTCTTATTTTAAGGAATTTTTAATTAAATCATCTACTATGCTGATGGTTTTTTCTTATAATTTGCTTTGACTGTTCAAATGTGAAAAAAAATGTGTTGAAATTTGAAACCTTCACAGAGTTTATATGTCCAAGAAAGAGTGAACACTGAGAACTTCTTGGCCCTTTTAATCGTGTCCTGTGTGGGAGCAAGCCTTTCTGTCGTAGGACTCTCATTTTCCATTCTTTCATTCCTCTTCATCAAGTAAGTCGTCCGACTCTAACAATGGATTCATAGATATACTTAG